CAGCAGGTCCGCTTCCGTCAGATTATACCCCTCACTTTTTACCTCTCACATAAAGAATTAGAACCCGGACGTTTTTTGTGACTTTATAAAAAAGATTGTCCAAGTGGCTAACATATTCTGTACACTTCACTACTGAGATGTAAATCCTTTTTCAAGTCTTTGTAACACCTCATAAAGTTCCATGAAAATCCCTTTAATATTCCTTGTAAATTTTTCCCGCCAAAAATTTAACGCAAAAAAAATTGCGGAATCTTTTTTCTCGCAAAAAAAAATTTTTGGCGGGAAAAAATTTTACGGGAAAATTTTACAAGGTATTTTAAAGGTTTTACAAATTTTTACAAGTGTTTTGGCGGGAAAAATTGGGGGATCACTTTTCCCGCCAAAAAATATTTTGTATTTTTTGGACCTAATTTTGTTATATTTCCTTATATATTTATGATATCTTTTATTAAAAAAAGAGTAATTTAGTCATTTTGTACATAAAAGGGGTATTTTTAAAAATGGACATCCAAAGGGGGCATTTTTGAAAAGGGGTATTGAAAAAGGGGCATTTTTGTGAATCTCCCTTCTTTGTTTAACCTAGGAAAAAAAAAATGAACATACAACAAGATGGCATGTTGCAAATACATGATAGATAATTTTAATATCAGCAGTGTAATGGACTGAATTTGATAGCCAATCGGCAAATCCTTTTCATAAAATCACCAAAAACCTCTGGTTCGAACTCTAACGTGAGAGGTAAAAGTGAGTGCCTGAGAACACAAGAATTGTCATAATTGTTTCCTTAAGAATTTCTATTCAACTTTTGAAAATTTGAGCTCAACATATATCAACATATGCGATTGTAGCATACCAACGTTGGACGGACAGGTAATTTCATATACTTTTCAACATTTCTTAATTAGTATATATACTTTATAAAATATTTGGAAATTAAAAAACAAATCAATATCCAAATTAAATTATCAACATTAATGGAGCTCTGATCATACGAGCTCTGATCCAAAACGAATATTTTAAGTGGAATGTCAGGGTTGCCAAATAAAACAAGAATGGTTTGATGGAGAAAGAAGGCACTATACAATAATTGATTTCCAAGGAAAAAGAAGATAAAAAAGAAATGCGAATGAAATTTTTTTTATATGGTTGTTCTTTTCTTTTTGGGTCTCTTTTTCCTTATCTTTATATAGAAGAATATGGAATTGAACGGATGTGATGTGGTCACTGGGCATGTTCGGTCCACATTGTTTTACCGTTTCGGAATTTTTGGTTACTTATAATCATAACCAAGGGAATCGCTAGGCGCTAGTCGGGCGTTCGGCATGGGCCTAGCGATTAATCGGAAAATCGGATTAAAATCGGGGATTAATCGGAGATTAGTTTTAGGGTTATTTTAATATTTTTAAAATATATTAATCCAATATTGTAAAAATTTATGATTTTTATTACAAATTTATGATTTTTATTAAAATTTGAACACAAGCTATTGTAAAACATCACAAACTCTCCATTCAAATGATTGAATAACAAAAATAAAAAGTTTTTTTATACTTGCAATCTAAAAAATAATCGGGGTATATAAGATTAGGCGGAAAGTAATCGGATTAGGCGGAGAATAATCGGGTTACTGATTTTTTAGGGGATTAGTCATGGAATTGAACGGATGTGATGTGGTCACTGGGCATGTTCGGTCCACATTGTTTTACCGTTTCGGAATTTTTGGTTACTTATAATCATAACCAAGGGAATCTATTCATCGTACGATCATTGTCTAAGCATGAGTCATATACGTTGTTCTCTATCTTTCCACTATGAACCATTCTTATTCACTTCTCTACTTTTTTTTTTCATCCAGAATCCTCCAAACTAGCTACTTTAATGTCATAATCATAGACTCGTACGTAGGGTTCTTTGGTCCAACGCAACTCAACAATGTCAATTCTTGTTATGTGAAAGTTTGCGGATCAATAAAAATAACATATGGGTAATATGGTTAAAATTTTGGAAATATTGGAAGGTGTTTTGGATGCATTTGACTAAAAAACTAGAACAGTTGAAAAAAAGAACAATTTGTGTGGATGAAGTCAGCCTAAGCTAAGTGAGATCATTTGCTTAACTCTAAGCATTTGACTGTACATGATTTTTTTTTTGTGTGTTTTAGTTTCTTTTTATGTGTAATTAATGAAATATATGTGAGTATTCAAAATATTTCCTTAAACGGCCATCAAAATTTTCATGAAAAGGCCAACAAAACATTTTTTTTAAATGACAAGAAAGTCCTTATAAAATCGTGTTTAATATCAAATTGACTACAAAATTTTAGCACTACTTAAAAAAAGTAGAAACGAACATATATAATACATAAGTTTTTTTTCTGTTTCAGAGCATAAAAGGTAAAAAGCACACGGAAAATAGACTATAAATATCTTATTAACATACCAATTTTTATCGGTTTAAGTCTTTTGGACTAGAACGTTATAGTGTTTTTAGCCACACTGGTGTTCCAGTAGTTCACGATATCTTAAGAAATAATCTGTACCAAACCAATTGTTCAGTGCACCGAACGAATCTATTCACCGAGATAACGCATTATGACATTGACACCATTATCTAAAAGGCAAATTATACGTGTGGCCGCGTCCATCAACTGTGCCTTCAGATCTTTATTCATAAAATATAGTTAATAGATTATTCTATAGAATCTTAAGTTAATAAATACTAATAAAACATGTGATTAAAGTGTTTACTGGTTTAGATCCGAACGAAACATAACATTTGCTAAGAATTTTGGTTGTTGCGTTTAAATTTAGTCATAAATATATAAACCACTTCACATTATTTTATAGCTCTTTCAAATACTTTCAATCAAAACTTCATTTTGTTCCTTAACCAAAAAAAAAAACACAAAACAAAAACTACTTTCTGTCAGATGGCAAAGATATGATGTAGTATATGTTATGATATTTTATGTAAATGCTACATTACTTGGTACTTGATGTCATCGACCAATCAAAATAATTTTTATAAGCTTCATGCATCGCTACAAATCGAATAAACTATTCAATAATATTTTATAAACTTCATTCTTTATTGACGAGAGTTCTAATTAACCAACCAAGCTAACATACTCATACGTACATGATATTGTTTTTGCCAAACATTTCGTGACTAATTTACATTTAAATGCTTATTTGTAGTTTATCAGGAAGAAGAAAAATTCTAGTTGATTATATGCCATCGAATAATTTGAAAAGTTCGGTTTATATAAGAAACCAACCGATCGATTAAATTTTTTCCTGGTTAGCAAAGTACCGATCGATTTGTTCGTTTCACAATTTCTAACATGATTGTCACAATTCTTAATCATCTTCGTAGGATTTTTTTTTTTTTTTTTTTTTTATGTATATATAATCTTAGTATGAGTTATTTTTAAAGATATAAGTAGAATGCATTTTCTTCATATGATCTAAAATATCGTAAAATATCTAAATGTTTATAAATTAATGTTTATAACGTCAAACGAAGATGACTAAGAATTAGCTAGAACAAACATGCAAAAGATTATGATAAATTAGTTTATCTGTATAAAATCAGCAAGTATTGTCGTTTCGAAAACTTATGGGTCAGGAGGTTCTACAATAACGAAATCTCTTTTAAGATTCATTGTCTTAATAATATTTATTAGTATGTCAAAATTTTACTATATACTAAACAAAATACGCAAAAGTTTAAAAGAAACATTTAGATTCCTATATGACCCAAAATTCTTATATCGTTTGGTGTATGTCTGGACATAATACTCGAATTCGAAGAACCGAACCGAATCCGACCCAAAAAATCTGATCCGAACCCGATTCTGAAGTTTTAAAATACCCGAACATGTACTAAACTTCACAACCCGATCCGAACCCGATCTAATCCCGTATCCGAACATACCTGAAATATAAGTACATAGTTATAATATAGTAGTAATATTTATACTTGTAATAACCTAGGTGCCTAAATTATTCGGATGTTAAGATATTTTCGGATGTTTTAGCTACTTTTGGCTAGATGCGCGTAAAAAAATACTTGGGTTTTATAGATTTTTTGAGTATTTTTCAATACTTTGCATAGAATCGGATACAAATTTTTTAATATTTAGATACTATGGGTAAACCCGAATCCGAACCCGAAAAACCCGATCCGAATCTGACCCGAACCCAAAGTTTTAAAATACTCGAATGTGTCTTAGTTTTCTAAACACGAAAAACCCGAATCCGAAAAACCCGACCCGAATATCCGAATGCCCAAGCCTAGTTTGGTGCGAGAAACGTAATTAAGCTCTCATATATACAATTTTAGATTCAATTATATTCCAGTTCAAAAAAACTTCTCTATATTACATGCCCGAAAAGTTTGATAGCATTGAAAATTCAGCGTAAAACTATACAAACTATTGAAGTTCGACCTAAACCACATATTGTAAGAACTCGATTAAAAAATTTCACATTGTTAAAAGTTTTTGTAGCTAGAGAACATGTTAAAATATACTATGGTGCTGTTCGTTTCACCATTCAGATGATCCATCTGAATGGAAATGAAAAATGATGTTCTTTTTAAACCATTTAACCGACCATTCAGCTGAATCAGTTGAATGAACTTTATCAAACTCATCCAAAAAAATTGAAAATTTTGGCTGAGTTTAATTGGTGCAGTCAACTGGAGATAATTCAGTCAAATGTTGAAAATGTCAAAAATACCCTTGATTAAACTAAACAATTACATTGATTTTCTTCTAAACCTACTTCGATTTTCTTCTCTCTCGGCGACGAAGCTTTGTTCTCTCTCGGAGACGAAGCTCTGTTCTCTCTCGCTTCGATCTCTCTCGCTTCGATCCCTCGCTCTCGTCGATCTCTCTCTCGCTTCATTCTCTCTCTACTCCTCTTGGTTAGTTCTCTCTCACAGCTTCCTTCATGTGATACTCTCGTTGATGTTGTTCTCTCTCATATCTCAATAGTCTTGATGCAACTTCATCGCTTCGTTCTTTGCTATACTTTATTTTTGATTCTGCATCTGCTTCCTTTGATTTCAGCTTGTGGGTTTGTCCAAATTTCACTCGTTTTGTTCTTAGTGTAATGAATTGAGAATTATGGTTTAAATAATACTGCTTCTGATTTTGAAATTAGTTCCAATTTGAATGATTAGAAGTGCTTTGTTGCTATTACGAGGTTTATGAATTAACAACTAAATGGTTTTGACGAGTCTAGAGCTTGAAATTGTTGATGCCAACCACATGTTTGATGAAATGCCTCACAGAAATGGTTTGTTTTTGATAAAAGCTTCACATAATTGGTAGTCTCTTCTATTAGCCTCTTGGTCTAATCATGTAAACTACAAAACTTGTTTAGTGAGAAAGAGACCATGTGATACGTGACATTATTATAGAAACTTGTTTAATGAGAAAGAGACCATGGAATCCAAGTTTTAAAATATTTTAAAAGCCATGTTTATGCCATTTTATGTGTAGGACAGAACTCGTTCAAGGAAAAATGTCAACTATACAAATAGTAGGGAACTGTTTAATCGTAAACATTCTGGTTTAAGATCAGTAATTGAGAGAACTTTCGGTGTATGGAAGGCTAAATGGAGAATACTAGACAGGAAACACCCTAAGTATGAAGTGAAGAAGTGGATTAAGATTGTGACATCAACAATGGCGTTACATAATTTTATCCGAGATTCACAGCAAGAAGATAGTGATTTCAAACATTGGGAAATGGTGGAATCATATGAGCAGCATGGTGATGAAAATGATGGGCATGTTCCATATGTACCTGCTGGTGACAGAATTCTGGAGGCTACACGGGATTCTATTACTGCAGAGATTGCCAAAGGAACTAGACTTCCATATTAACAGGTTTGTGTACTTAAGCAATAATTAGTTTTATGATTCATGTCTTTGTTTTCAGGTTTTATATATGATTTTATCTGAGTTTTGTGCGATTGATTGCTGCAGCTCCCGGTATTTCAACGTTATGATTCTTGGTCCTACACAATCACCTTATGAAGGTAATTGTTTATCCTTGGTTGATGTGTTTTCTAAGTTTTGATTTTGTTGCTGGATTTGATGATGCTTGACTTGTTCTTTCAGGAATTGGGTTTGAATCGAGACGCAAATACTTGTTTGGTAAAGTCTCTATCTAGATTAAGCAAATCGATTATTATGCCACTGCTTGCTCTGTTTAAAGACACTGTTATTAGGAACAAAACCAATCTCTTCTTGCTTTGATTATTATGTCCCTAATCTTACATTATGAATGTATTTCACTAAAGTAATGACGTTGGTTGGTTTAAAAGGTCCATTTAAATGCATGGGTATTTTAGTCATTTTCATTTAGATGAGGATGTGGATGAATTACCAAATGATCAAACAAACAAAAGTCCATTTAAATGCATCATTAAGATGAACTACCCAAATGATCAAACAAACATCATTCAAATGCATCATCCAAATGGATCATTTGGATAGATCATTTGGATGCAAATGCCAAATGATGAAACAAACAAGGCCTATATAGTTTTGAATTCATCGGATATACTACGTGTAGTTGGTCCTACATGGTAGCATCCCATGATGTTTTTTTGGTAGTTCGGTTTCTCAACTTGGTTGGGAGTTCGGTTTCAGGCTACCATTTTCCACATTTGGAAGCAACGCAACAATGTCCTACACAACTCTCTATCGCTTAGTACGCATTCTATCTTCAAGTACATCGACCGTGAGATCAGAAACATCATCACCTCAAGAAGAAATAGACGCCCGTTTCGCAAGTTAATGGCGTTATGGCTGCGATGATAACTACCAAGTTCTCTCCCAGATTGGATTGGCTCTTTGTTTTTTATTTCTTTTTTGCCAAAGAGTCAAATGCTGTAGGTTAACAATCTTGTAAAACCTGTTTATTCGTTTATATGATATTTACAATTTAGTAAAAAAAAAAAAAAAAAGCATATTATATGCATATACATACATCTACAAAAAAAATTAATAATAGTGCAAAAAATAATGAGTTACAGACTTCAATAGTGGGTACGTATTTTTGGGATTGATGATAACGTATAATACAAATCGAAACAGATTATAACAGCTGGTTAGAAAATTCCGTATAATTAACGAATAAACATATAAAAAAACCTTATAGTGTGTGGCTGGCCGTGAACCAACATGGAGAGCCAATAGGTCGTAGCCACCAAAGCACTATCTAGCGCGTGACGTACACGTAGTCAATGACTAATGTTTCAAGGACGAACCTAGCCGCATTATAGTCCACGTTCAAATGAGGCCCACTAGTTTCCATAAAAGTCAACTTCACCCCCAAAAAAACGCTCCAAACTTTTGACCTTTTCGCTTTTCTTGATTTGGAGCCAGTGGCATTTTCGTAAAATCATTTTGATCTAACCGCTTTGATGTTCTTGCTTAGTTTCCATAACTTCTGTCATTATCACCTTTATATTTGTTTTTCCTAAAAAAGCCAAATATTCGTAATCACGATTTTTCTCTTGACTCTTATAATTTAATGTTTATTCCAATTAAAAATATTAAATTTATAAAAGCCCAGATCTATTTCTTTTTCCCCTCACTTTTGTTAAATATTTTTTTTTTCTCTTGAAATTTTTTCCAGTTTCTAGCAAAATCTATTTTCTCTGGAAACTTTGTAACTAGGGTTTTCGTTTCGTTTTCGAAATTTGATAATTAGAGAGAGTGATTCAGTGAACCTGGACATGATCAGGTTTACTGATTTTACTGTTTTAAACTTAGAAAAGAATAGTGAACAATCTGGAGTTCTAAAATCTAAAAAGGGGAGGCTTTTAACTAGTATATCTCTCGTGTACTTTTTCTCTAATTCTTAAATCGTTCTCTCTTCCTGTTTCTACTTTTTAAAATCCCTTTTCGCTTTAATAAATTGAATAAATCACGTAAAAGCTCTAATTTGGAGGAAAAAGGCTAAAAAGCGAGATCGAATTCTTCTTCTTCTTTTTCCAGGTAAGTGGGTGTTTCACCTTCCAACTATCAATGGTTATGCTTAGTTACTTTACCCACCAATTAATTTTATTTTAAAACCTCTCATTTAGAGATTACACGTGCGTATAATGTTTAATCATCTTTTTTTTTTCTTTCTGGTGAAAATATAATCCTAGTTGATTGATTCCTTTTTCAATTGTGTTTTTGTGTGTGTGTATAATATCAGAATAATTACGCAATATATAGTATGACAGGCTATATACAATAATGCATATAACTAGGAAAATGTTGAAGAGGTATCGTCTGGTGTAGGAGTTTACGATTACAGCGTCTCTTCGATAAGATATTTAATTAATCACACTATCAATCATGCATACTTGTCTACATTACAAAGTCAACACATGTGGTGTTCACTTTGGTTCCAACCAAAACGGATTACAATTTTTGTATCTTAAAGAATATAAAAATTAGTCAGACAAGAGAACGTAACTTGATTTTTTTTTTATATAGCTTTTGTGATCGAAATTGGCTTATGTGACATAAAAACGCCGGTTAATTCCTTTGAAAAAACTTTGGTTGAAAATGAATTGCGGCTAGTTTTTTATAATAATCCAGTCGCTTTCCATCAAGTTGCAGAAGTTTAAGCCTTTTTTTCTAAAACCTGAGTGATTTGAAATTTTGGTTTAGTATTCTAATAACTAAACTAATATAGTAATATGCATGCACCAAACTGACGACAGGGACAGAACATCTACATAGCCTGAGTTTAGACAAGATATCAAGTCCTAATTAGAACCACCAAAATAGAACATATGAATTAGGCTTCATATGTAATCTTTTAGGTTTTCTTTCTAAATTTCTGTTCAGTTAGGTTTGTTTTCTAGGTTTTGTAGGTCCTATTTCTAAAGTTTATGTTCAACAAAAACGATGATAGAATCCAGAAATCAAACGTTAACTAATAAGGTTCTGTTTTCGTATAATGCGGCACCTCTAATCCTATTAAATAATTAAAAATTGAAAGGTTAACGTTAATTTTCCGTCGTTTATTTAGGGATAACTGTTGGCATTTACTGTATATCTACCACGTTGCGGTTCTAGTCAACGATCTCTCCTTACAGCAGAAGAAAAGTAAACGATATCATTGAATTGAGATTGTTTTCAATTTTGCACACAAAGTTTGCCACAGAATCCATTGACTTAATTTGTTTAAACTTTAATGTCGATCAACGCAAATAAAAAATTGCATCTATTCTAGTTAGACTTTCCAATTTTCTTAATGTACTTGGTCTCTTAGTAATCCAGATTCATCAATCTATATATATGATGACCACTCTCTTATCATTAAATTAAAACAAAAGCTATTCTAAATTTTCGTTATAAATAAGCTTCATGTATGTTGCTCCAAAATCACACTTTTAAGTCATCTTCACTTCACCCAAATATCTATCTTTCTCTTGGTTCGATCCCATTACTCCAATCACACAATTTATAATCTAAAAAACTTGCAAACTAAAGTGCTAGCCTAATAAGTCTTCTGTTCTGTTTCCAGAGATACTATGTCGTCGAGAGCTCACCCTGTAGACGGAGATTTAAGTCCGGCGACAGTTGGTGGAGGTCTTCCGATGAAATCTCCCCCCCACCGGCATAAAGTTGGAATCCCACCTAAGCAAAACATGTTCAAGGATTTCATGTACACATTCAAAGAAACTTTTTTCCATGATGATCCTCTTAGGGATTTTAAGGATCAGCCTAAGTCTAAGAAGTTTATGCTCGGTCTCCAATCCGTCTTCCCGGTCTTCGATTGGGGACGTAACTACAATTTCAAGAAGTTTCGAGGTGATCTCATCTCTGGTTTAACCATTGCAAGTCTCTGCATTCCTCAGGTGGAAAACCTAAACTCAAGTACACTATTACTTGTATCACAAGTTATTTGTACTTGCTTTGTTTCTTATGTATATTCCATGATGATTGCAGGATATTGGATACGCTAAGTTGGCGAATCTTGATCCCAAATATGGTTTATGTAAGTTTGATTTTGATAAATTCTCTCACACTTGACCTCATTTGATAAACATTGGATAATCAAAATATGGTTGATATTGATTTTACAGATTCGAGTTTTGTTCCTCCGTTGGTGTATGCTTGTATGGGGAGTTCTAGGGATATAGCAATCGGACCTGTCGCTGTGGTTTCTCTGTTGCTAGGCACATTGCTTCGAGCTGAGATTGATCCAAGCACAAATCCAGATGAATATCTCCGCCTTGCCTTCACTGCTACGTTTTTCGCCGGTATCACCGAAGCAGCCCTTGGATTCTTCAGGTAAAATTAATCTCTTATCAAGGAACAATTTCTTCCTTCTTTGATGATCGGAAAAAGCTCTCTAAATGTTCATCTTCTTCTTTACTACTCTCAGATTAGGGTTCTTGATCGATTTCCTTTCCCACGCGGCTGTGGTTGGCTTCATGGGTGGCGCAGCCATCACTATCGCTCTTCAGCAGCTTAAGGGCTTCCTGGGGATCAAGAAATTCACCAAGAAAACTGATATCATTGCTGTTCTTGAATCCGTTTTCAAAGCAGCCCATCACGGCGTAAGAATCTTTTCGCTGATACAAAACACTATGTTTCTTGATTCCTCCGTTGCATAAATCTCTTCACTAATTCATATCAATTTGGCTATGCAGTGGAATTGGCAGACTATACTCATTGGTGCATCATTCTTGACCTTCCTTCTCACCTCTAAGTTCATTGTAAGACATATATTTATTAACAAAACATCGAATTGTTTATCCGTTTTTGTTATGATCTGTTTCTGATCTCTCTTGACTTGATGCTGAAACAGGGGAAGAAGAGCAAGAAACTATTCTGGGTACCAGCAATTGCGCCATTGATATCAGTTATCATTTCCACCTTCTTTGTCTACTTAACCCGAGCCGACAAACAAGGAGTCCAAATTGTAAGATCTCAACCTACTCTAACTAGTTACTTGCGCCTCAAACGATTCGACATTGTGGTAATACTTAATATGATTCTTTTTTTTGATGAATGAAGGTGAAACACCTTGACCAAGGAATCAACCCTTCCTCTCTCCATCTAATCTACTTCACTGGTGATAACCTTGCTAAGGGCATCCGGATCGGTGTAGTCGCTGGCATGGTCGCTTTAACAGTAAGTACAAACCAATGACTCATACATCAATCTCTCAACAACGAAAGTTCCTCATCAAAACCTCGAATTTTTCAACCTGTTTTCGCAGGAAGCTGTAGCGATTGGAAGAACCTTTGCTGCGATGAAAGACTACCAAATCGACGGTAACAAAGAGATGGTAGCATTAGGCATGATGAACGTAGTTGGATCGATGTCTTCTTGCTACGTAGCTACAGGATCTTTCTCAAGATCAGCCGTCAATTTCATGGCTGGATGTCAAACAGCGGTTTCGAACATCATAATGTCAATTGTCGTTCTCTTGACATTGCTCTTCCTGACTCCTCTCTTCAAGTACACTCCAAACGCCATCCTGGCAGCTATCATCATCAACGCCGTGATTCCTTTGATAGATATCCAAGCTGCTATTTTGATCTTCAAGGTTGATAAGCTAGATTTCATCGCTTGTATTGGAGCCTTCTTTGGCGTCATCTTTGTTTCTGTTGAGATCGGACTTCTCATTGCCGTACGTCTCAAGAAAACTAAACCCTCTCCATATTGCTGCAATCATGATAAATCTAATTCCCTTCTAATCTTAATTTGCTGATGTTTGTGTGTTTATTTGTGGACAGGTCTCGATCTCGTTTGCTAAGATCCTCTTGCAAGTAACAAGACCTAGAACTGCAGTTCTCGGAAATATTCCGAGAACTTCTGTTTACAGAAATATTCAACAGTATCCTGAAGCCACTATGGTTCCAGGGGTTCTTACTATTCGTGTTGACTCCGCGATTTACTTCTCCAACTCAAATTACGTCAGAGAAAGGTAAAACCCTAAACAAAAGTTTAATCTAAACCAAGATCTGTTACTTGGTTTACATGAAATCTAATTCGGAAAACCTTTGATTTACAGGATCCAGAGATGGCTTCATGAGGAAGAAGAAAAGGTCAAAGCAGCAAGCCTACCTAGGATTCAGTTTCTCATCATCGAAATGTCACGTAAGTTACTCTTAATTAATCCCTTCTTAATTATCGCTATTTTTATCCCTATAAACAAATATTAACGAACATACACCATTATTTTTCAGCTGTTACGGACATCGACACAAGCGGTATCCACGCGTTAGAAGACTTATACAAGTCTCTCCAGAAAAGGGACATTCAGGTACATATATATATATATATATATATATATATATATATATATATATATATATACATACATACTGATTTTATGAACTATAATCTAAGCAATCAAAGTGAATAAGTATTTGAAGAAGATTTACCTTTTTGCCAGAGAGTTATGAAACCTGACTCTGTTTTTGTGTATAAACAGTTGATTCTAGCAAATCCTGGACCCTTGGTGATAGGCAAGCTACACTTGTCGCATTTTGCCGACATGTTAGGAGAAGACAACATCTATCTGACAGTGGCTGACGCCGTCGAGGCTTGCTGTCCAAAACTCTCAGAAGAGGTCTGAAATTTACAAGAAAGAAGAAGAAATGAAGATAATGACGAAGAAGAAGAAGAAGGAAATGTTCTCTAAGTGTTGTAACAGTAGAGTTAAGAAAGTGACTTTTGCCTTCAATTGTAGTTCTTTATGATTCTTCTATCCATACCGAGAGGTCAAGTGTAAAGTTGACTACTTTTTGTAATAAAGTTTTGTATATTAAGATTTTTCTATCAAATCAAGTTTAAAAACTCAAAATGTATTAACAACTATGATCAGGATGTCCAATGTAGAGATCTATATCTCTGGAAATATATTGGTTAAGCCAAATGGGAACTCAATAATGTGACAAGTTGGAATTTAAAATGCATTAGATATGATCCTTATCCATATGTTGACAAAACAAATAAAATATGATCCTATCCTTGATTTGATATGAACGTGGACCAGAAACAAAGCAAGATTCATTTGTGAGTGGTTTATAGAACCTTTAAACAGTAGTAAAACACTGTAGGTTCCTCTTTCTCTTTACTTTTCTTTCTCTACTAGCGCAATGCACAAACAAAACGCTGCGTTCTTACAAGTCCTTTTTTAGTTATTGGGCTTTATTAGATAAAAGCCCAAACCATGTTTTATTCATGATGAGTTATTGGGCTTTGTGAAAACATTAAAACGCTGTGTTTTGATTTTATCTCTTTTGTTTTCAATGCCGCCGTCGTCGGCGTTATCCGTGAGCTTAGGTTGCAGTGTCGATGGTAAATCTCCTCTCCTTCCGTTCCGTCGGCGTTCATCTTCTCCGACATGCTACGCCGATCATAACCCGAGGCGGAAGAATCTCGAAACCCTTCTCTAAAAATCTCTGCTTTGTCTTATTCTCCTCGTCTCCTAAAACCTCTCTTCTTAAACCTCGCGCTGCGTCATCAGGTTATAAGAGCCATTGAAACGATTCTAATTTGACCTCAACCTTATTCCTAATGGGGTTCTTTTTCTTTCTTTTCATTGTGATTGTTGCAGAGGACAAGTCTCTTGTGTTTAGAGGCGATGAGCGTGTGGTGGGTCTTGTGGGCAAGGTAGTAGACGATGCATTCGATAACGTCGATAGGTTTCAGAGCTCAAGTACAATTGTGGCGATTGTAACGCCGATCGGTGGACCACCTGGTGCGGTGGGAATCGTGCGGTTGTCGGGACCTAAGGCTGTGGAAGTTGCACGAAGAGTCTTTCGTTCTGCTAAGAAAAGGAAGAAGAAGGACTCGGATTCGGATTCATGGCAGCCCAAGAGTCATTTCGTGGAGTATGGAGTTGTTGTTGATTCACATGGCAATGTTGTTGACGAGGTAGATTTGAAAAGTTCTTAAATTTGACACTAATTCACACTTCTCTGTTTCGATGTCTTCGTAATCAAATTACTGGCTTTATGCTTAGATCATGATTTTTAACCGGGAAAGGATTTGAATATATTTGACATTTCTACTGGTTTTGTTATAGATGGATTATATAGATCTTCAAGTGTTTTGATCAGTGAAGTGTGACTGCTTGTTAGGTTTTAGCTGTGCCTATGTTGGCTCCTCGGTCATACACTCGAGAAGATGTAGTTGAGCTCCAATGTCACGGGAGCGAAGTTTGTCTGCGGCGTGTTTTGAGGACGTGTGTTGAAGCTGGAGCACGATTAGCAGAACCAGGTCAGAGACTCAAATCCCTTCTATAGATTTGGTCATTGGGTTTCTTCTCCTATGTCTAACTTAATCTGTGAGATTTAGCTATAAGATTATTAGAAACAGGTTCTTTGATCGATGTTTGACTTCATATGTGAGTTGTTAGCTAAAGATTCTGAATCCTTTTTCTTTTGGCTGGATTTGCGGTGCATTCAGGAGAGTTTACACTTCGTGCCTTTCTAAATGGGCGTTTAGACCTTTCGCAAGCTGAAAATGTCGAAAAACTTATTTCAGCCAAGTCGTCTGCTGCGGCAGATGCTGCTTTGGAAGGGATTCAGGCATACACTTTACATCCTTTGTGATAAATCGTTTCTAATAATAGTTTGTCTATGATCGTTGTTAACATCTTCAAGTCTTTTCCTACTGTTTTCTTTAGGGTGGGTTTTCATCTTTGGTCAAATCATTAAGAGCACAATGTATTGAGCTCCTCACTGAGATTGAAGCTCGTTTAGACTTTGAGGACGAGATGACGCCATTGGATATAGAGTCAGTTATTAACAAAATAAACAGCATGTCTGAAGACGTAGAAAGTGCATTAGATACAGCAAACTACGACAAGCTTCTTCAAAGCGGATTGCAGGTAAATTTTAAGAATGCTATTCATTCTTCATGTTCATGTTTGAAAGTTTGAAAGTAAGAGCATACGTTTTCATTTGTCTTCCTTACTGAAATGTTGCAGATAGCTATTGTTGGGCGTCCGAATGTCGGGAAATCAAGTCTTCTAAATGCCTGGAGCAAAGTATGGAAACAGAATGATCTTTTTTTTTTTTTAGTAAAAACTGGAAGTTGCAATCTTTAAGTCTGTTTATTCAAATAGAGTCACATTTCCACCGGTGCTTTAATTTTAGCGTGCAGAGTGAGAGAGCCATTGTTACAGAAGTTGCTGGAACTACTCGAGACGTTGTGGAAGCTAATGTTACAGTCCGTGGCGTACCAATCACAGTTCTTGACACTGCTGGTATCAGAGAAACCAATGACATTGTCGAAAAAATAGGTCAGTATTAGACTACAAGCGTAATATTTGCCAAAGCTCAGATCTTGAGAGAGGTTTTTCTTTCTTTTTTTGCAGGAGTTGAAAGATCAGAAACAGCTGCTAAGGTTGCTGATGTCATAATCATGGCGGTAAGTGCTGTCGAAGGCTGGACTGAAGAAGACACTGAGCTTTTACGTAAGATCCAATCAGACAAGGTAATTGTTCGATAGTCACTTTTTCATTTTTTTCCCACTAGTTTCATTTTTATGACTTTTTTCGGGTCTCCTTCATTTGAAACAGCCTATGATTCTGGTGATGAACAAAATTGATAGTGCTCCTCCAAGTAGCTGTGATCAACTAGAAGATCAGAGGAAAAAGGAAGAAGTTTTCCATAAGTCTGTCTTCACATCTGCTGTTACTGGTCAAGGACTTGAAGAGCTTGAAGATGCAATATTGGAGATTCTTGGTCTTGATCGTGTCCCCACTGGAGGACATCAATGGACAGTGAATCAGGTCTGTCTCAATTATACTTGTAATTCTGTTTCTATCCATTAACTTTTTGAGTATTGCATTTAGACCCTCTTTGTGTGTGTGTGTTTATCAGAGACAATGCGAGCAACTGGTGCGGACGAAAGAAGCGCTAGCGAGGCTGAGAGAAGCGATAGAAGACGAGATTCCGATTGATTTCTGGACAATCGAGCTGAGAGAAGCTGCTTTGGCTCTTGCTCAAATCAGTGGTCAAGATGTCTCTGAAGAGGTCTTATCCTCCATTTTTGCTAAATTTTGTATCGGTAAATAAATCAGTTGCCACTTAATTCAACCCCAAACAAATCAAAAGTGTCTTATTAACCTTTTTCACATACATTGAAGTTTGTTTTTTGTGGAACTTTTGTGTGTTTATTGTAAAATCGACGTACGTACAATAATTAGATTCAACATATACATACATACATCAATGCACATTGTATATGACAAGAAGGTATTTTTAGTCCTTGTAAATTTATAACAAACAATGTCAAAAAAACAATAATGAAAGCGAATAATGAAAAAGAACCTCTCCCGACCAAAATAATAATAATGAAGAGTGTGGACCAGATGGTGAAGCCCACTAGTGAAAAATGGGCCCGGATAGTGAGAGAGAAAAGGGCCCACTATCAATTTCTGATTTCTGAAATTGATATTTGGAATTGGAAGTTGGGACCAATTGGGTTTGGTTACTGGAGATATATAACCTATTTTGTGATTGTGTGTCCAAAACACGAACGAATCAGAGAGCCAAGAAAATAAAATAAAACTTTAAACGTCTCTTCACTTTTTTGACTCACCTGTGTCCACTTGTCCTCTCAATCATACCAAATCATCTACTACCCACCAAATTCCACGTCAGCTTCAGTTTTCATTATCATTTGTCATTTAATAACAAAAAGAAAATTGAAACAAATTTAACGATGCCAAAAGTTATGTGATGTTTTCAAATTTTAGTCACTCAATTTATTATTCTCGAAGCATTATCAAATGAATGTCTATCGTATTTCTGTGTAAATGTATCAAACTATATATTGAAATTTGAAGCTTGCAATATAATTTTGCCTTTGAAGCTTTTTTAGATAACATGTATAACATGTATCATATGATCTTCTTGTGGTTAAGGCCTTCTTGTGTATTACAAATAAGGCCTTTGAAACTCGTTTCTACTACCATCATTTACCGCTTAAAATTTCATGTTGCATTGTATAATTTGTATCACCAATATTCAGTTAATCCCGTTGAAACTTCTCACCGTGAGTGTGACCTTGTAAGAAAAAAGAAGAAAAAAACTATTTTCTTTTTTCTTAAAGTTGGAAAAATGTCTTGGAGACTTACGATGTTGAGACCGACCATTTTGGTACAATGTGCCACTCTGTTTTATCTTTAAGTTTGTGTGTTAAAGAGGTCACAATGCACCAATCAGCATAAGCTTTTGTTGTGATTTTCGATCAAAAATTATTGATTTAAGGAACCAAGAGCTTTTGGCCCGAGTATCTTCCCCATGACAAAAAATATACTCTTAATCTTTTGGCATTAAATCGTCATGCATTAAATTTGTAAGGTAAAACTTTGAAATTTGGTGAGAGATATGTGAAGTGGAGAGACGAGAGAAGGCTCTATAAAATTGCAAAGGCCAAATTGAAGTACACATTGTTGTCATTTGTGAAGAAGGTGGTCCATTTTTTTGGTAGCCCAGATGTTAGGAACCAAATAACAACATTTACTTTTCAATTTTCTTTATTTTCATCTATTTTTATTTATTTTGGAAATGAGTTTTCTTGTAATAATTATTGTTTTATTTTTGGACTTTACTTTCATGAAAGAAAACGACTGGGGTGGAGAAATGGACAAATTCTTGGGGGCAACTATCGTATGATGTGGAAAGTTAATTATTGTTAATTTAGTGGGTCCATTGGGCCTAACGGGCCCTTCTTGAATGATTTTATGAGAATTTTTCTACTGTGAGATATTGTAAGACACTTGTAACTTTAATGAATGGATATATGTACTAGGTCTGACCAAATAAACCGAACCGAATATACCAAACCGAAATCGAAGCAAAAGCAATCGAACCGAACCGAACTGAACCAAAAATTTGAAAATAACCGAATTGATACTAAATTTGATAATCAAAACAACCGTAACCGAATCGGTACCGAACCGAAATATTTCGGATAACCGAAATACCCAAAATACAATTATATTTTCAAAAAAGTTAGTTATTTATAGACCAAATAATCAAAAACACTTGAAAAATATATAAAATAGTAAAAATATTCGAAAATATCCAAAATATATCCAAAAATATCCGGAAATATTCAAAAATAACCAAAATATCCAAAAATATCATAAGCAAAATAACCGAATGAATACTAAATTTTAAAACCGAAAGAACCGAAACCGAACCAAAATTTCAAAATATCCGAATGGATACTAAATTTTAAAACCGAAAGAACCGAAACCGAAAGCCCAGACCTAGGATATACGATGTTTTATTTTAACAATCCATCGTTTTATACACATGTTTTGATGTTCACAAACTTCGAAGACAAAACTAGGTTTGAAGTTTTTTAACTAATATTCCAAGTTTTTGTTTGTTTTATTTTAACCTATTTTAACCTTGTCTACATTATAAAAGAATTAAGGGAAAAGAACCACAAATTGATGAAACTTAGGTTTTCTCAATTTTTTTATTTTATTTTCTTTGTAGATGGCAATAGCTGTCTTTAATGAAACAACTTTCAAGCTGCCTATGGACTTGCCCAGACCAAATGCACATGAGCGGGCTATGGTTCAAACCAAAAAATAAATGATCTAATTAGGCATAATGGCATATAATCAGTTTTGTCCGCAGATAATATGGATTTGACAATATGGACATTTTTTTGGATCATTAACCATTATGAACACGTCCAATAGTCCTTGAACGGACCATTTGACAGCTTTAGAAACAAGGCTAAAGAAAATAAGATTATTAATGAAATCATTTGTTTATGTGAACATATAAATTACTTTTTTTTTTTCTTTCTAGATTTCTTTTTGGTCATAGCTTTATCTACCAAACCAATTTTTCAAAAAACAATATGTGAAATTTGGACAGAATTGTACATCCATTCGCTAATCGCTACATATATAAAAATGATTAACAAATGTATTTTTTACCAAGTTTGACCACCATACAACTAATATTATCAGTTGACAAAAAAAAAAAAAAAATACAACTAATATTATCACGAATTCTATATTATTACATTTATCACAAAGTACAAACAGAATTAATGCAAAATGTTCTTTTTAAAATAAATGTCCAGAATCATGACGTGGCATAATCGTGACGATAACATAATTTTGATCAGAAACAATCAACGGTCTAGATTGAGTCCTGAGTCTATGGTTCTTCTTTATCTTCCCTGTCTCTTCTCCTTCCTCACTCCCTCTTCCCTCTCTTTCTCTCTCAAGATTATTTGCTCTGTTCAGAGCTCCAAATTTAAAGAGTAACATACACACAACACATATACGATGTTGCTTGGGAAGAGACAACGACCACCGATTAACAGAACCACAAGTCTATCGGAGATAAAGTTCGATCTAAACCTTCCCAGCGAATCAGAGCCATCTAATCAACAGAATCCAACCGTGGTGAGCCCGTACGGTTCCAACGGTCAAGCCGTAACAGCAGCCGTCGATCAAAACCGTGCGTTCTTAGATCAACGGCTCTTATCTATGGTCTCATCGAGAGGTAACCTGAGGAGACACTCAGGAGATTTCTCGGACGCTGGACATTTCTTGAGATCTTGCTCACTTTGTGAACGTCTTCTTGTTCCTGGCCGTGACATCTATATGTATAGGTATATATCTATAATCAGTTTTTATCGTAGTAAAAAATTTAGACCTTACGTAACTTTTCATATTTTGATGATGAACTTATCAAAAACAAAAACAAAAACAAAAAAATTTGATGATGAAGCACCATTAATCGTGCCTTTTTTTTTTAATGATTTAATTGTTTTTTGAAAGTCGGATTTGGCTTATTTATTTGAATGATTTATGATACTTAATTTGTTGTTTTTAGTTTGAGTATGTATTGGATAATTAGTGATAAATTTTGTATAATTAAAATGGCAGGGGAGATAAGGCCTTTTGTAGCTCAGAGTGCAGGCAAGAGCAAATGGCACAAGATGAGAGGAAAGAGAAAGGTAAATCGGCACCACCGGCGAAAGAACCGGCGGTGACAGCTCCTGCGAGAGCGAAACCCGGCAAAGGGAGAGCTGCAGCCGCCGTGTAATCCCCATTTTCATATACATTTAGCTATATATAATTATATATGTGTGTGGTTTGCTATGTGTTTGTATATGATTATGATGGGTAATACATATATAAAACATTAAGCGTTAATTAACCGTGATTAACTGTGTTAATCACCCTCGTGTTGTGGTGAAAGTAGATGATTTTTCGAGGGTTCAAATTTTACAAGTTTTGATCTATTTCAAATAAAATCAAATGTATTATATATGTAAGACTTGTGTTTTTTTAAGTACTTAATGAGAAAAATTAAGATTACGAATCTACATTGAATTCATGTGGGTGAGGTTTCGTTTTAGGAGATTGGAGCAATATATTTAGAATCTACGATAGAAACAAATGAAACTGAATCATATATAGGTTTTATAAGATTACGATGAAATCATTCTTAGAAATAGAAGCGTAATTGGTTAATTGATTATAATAGGTATACTCTTTCAAATTTAGAACAAGCGTTTTTTTATTCGAACATCAAACTTACGTATATTATAGTGGAGAATTAATTCCAAATTTTCAATCTTAGGTCAACTAAAGTTGATGTATAAGTTTGTAGCATTTATGTACTTTTTATACACGAATGTATACAAAAATATACAGATGCTAGATTTTAATCCCGCGGTGTACCGCGGGATGATTCAATTTTAAAGTTAGTATAAAAATATTTTGTAAATTGTATCTCCTTATAACATATTTATTTATATTATAGTTTACAATTGTTATCAAGTAACGGTATACTACGAGTCCACGAGACAACTATTAATAAACTGAAGATTTAACCCGTACTAAAGCGGTATATAAATATTGATTCAAATTTGTCCGCCATATAAATCCTTTCCGAAATATAATCTGTTCCGTAATTTCTTAACCCGTCCCGTGATTTGTTTTTATTTTAAAATTTAATGATTATTTATTATATATAAAAGTTTACAAATCATATCATCCTCTAATACCACGGGACATTATACCACGAGACAATTTTTGGTTTTATACAATCTTTTCTAAATGAGACTGATTTATTATGTCTATTATTTGTGATATAAAAAAAAAAGATTTAATCCGTATTGAAGCGGCGGATTAATGATATTTGATTCAAAAACCCGTTCCGCCAAACCCGTCCGGCCAGAAAACTCATTTATTTTATTGATGTTCTTATTTATGATATGATTCTGAATCATTGTCTAAATATTTTAATCGATGTAGAACGTTGAACACATATTTTCGTTAATTGGATAATATATGTCTGTTTTTAAAATTTCGAATCACAATATATGCAGAAAAAAAAATTTCAAAATAGTTAAAAATAAATCAAACAAAAATGATAGGAAAATCATAATTATAAATCTTAATCAAATCTTCTAAATATATAAATTATTAAATATGGAATATCCGGTGTATGAGTTGGGTTACATATAATCCGATCTAAGTATTTTTTGTAAAGGAATTTAAAAAACGGGTCGGATATCCGATTAACCCAAAAACGTTTTTATCCACCCATCACCAAAGTGTTGCAAAAAATACTAGTATAGATAAAAAAAATTAAATAGACATGATGCTGATCGAGTCAGGAATCTAATGTCTAATCAGCATGGGTCCCAGTATCCACCAATCGGAAAAAATTGGTAGATTCTCTTTTTTTCTTTGTTGTCTTTAAAGTTCGTTACAGTTTTGACAGATTCCTAATGACAATTTTTTGTGTGTTTCCCTTTTGTTACAAACAAAAAAAAATTGGAAATTATTTCGGTTTTATTTCTAACGAGATGATTTTTTTTTTTTTTTTGACATCTTTAAATCGATAAGGTCTGATCCATAGTCAATCCCTACTACGCGGGGTAACGCGACTTAGTGGAGTCGAACTCCGGTGGGAAAAGCGGAGTCAAATGGACTTAACCACTTGACTAAAGGCACATCTCCATTTCTAACGAGATGATTAACGCAACATTTTTTACACTTTGTTGTATGATGTATCTAAGGAAGTCTTAAGTAACATGTACATAAATTTTATTTTGTAAAGGTCTGGACAAAATACTCGGAACCAAATAACCAAACCGAAAACCCGAAAAAATACCCGAACTGAATCCGAACCGATTTTTAAAAATATTCGAATAGGTCCTAAACCTCTCTACCCGAAAAAAACTCGAACCGAATCCAACACCCGTGGGTACCCAAATACAAATATACACCTAAAAATATTAGTTATATTTATATTTATAATACCCTAAATACCAAAAATTACAATTATAAATCCGAATATACTAAGTATTTTTGAGTAATTCACATACATTTGGATATATTTGGCTAAAAAGTAACCAATGTTGCTGTTTTCTTTTGGGTAATTTTAGTATTTTTATTTAATTTTGGTTATATTTGGGTAAAGAGTAACTAATGTATGTTTGAAAAATCGGGTATTTCGGTTAGATTTGGATATATGAGTAAAAAACCCGAACCCGAAAATATTTTAGATATTTTTGGTTATTTTTGAATATTTTACTTTTTTATTAAAATATCCAAAACCCGAACCGAATCCGAACCAAATTTTTAGAATACCTGAATGAGTCTCGACCCTCCTACCCGAATAGACCCGAAACCCGAAAAAAAACGATCTGGTACGGAGACCCGAATGCCCATGCCTAATTTTGTAGAACAATTCTCTAGTATTTTGTTAGATTTTACCATGACAAAATTCTTCATAGTACCTTCTACAAAAGTGTATAAACAGAAAATTGTACGTATTAACGAAATATGTATATGATTTTATATCACACAAATAGATTGCTTTGTGAGTAAATTTTGTAGTAGCAAGTTGACATTAAACATTATAAACGTAGTAAGTGAGTATTATAATAGTATACCACTTGGCCAAATTGGCATGTGTCCGCATCAAATTTGGCCAACTCTCTGAATTCTAACGTCTATTTAATCTCTCCAACCTAGCATCCACGCTCCTTAATTATTGTTTTACGAAACAAAAGCTGTATATATAATTATGTTTTTTAAGTAAAAGCTCTAATTAAAGCAAGTCTAAAAATAAATTAAGATTGTTGGCATCTTTCTCGACCAAATAAGATGGTAAGAAACTGAGAATGATAGCGTGCTTTTTATCTATTTATTCGAAATTACTTAATGAGTGACCTAATTAATAAACTATATAGTTAGCTACTGCAGAAAACAAAAGACAAGTTGATAGTTTATTGAATTTAAGAGAAAAACCCACTAATCAGCAAACATGATTCATTGTTATATATATATATATATATTTATATTTAGCCATTGCAAATTATTCACTTGATTGATGATAGTTCTTCGAAACAAGTTTTAACGTTTAAGATTTTTGTTTCTAATCTGAGCTTTCGGAAGGGAGAAATTAACAAGGATGCATGTTTGCACAAAATGATCATATGGCTAAAGAGAAGTATGAGCTAACAACTCGGAAAAGTGTTGGCCTAACAAATAAAATTGAGTTTGTGCTACATAGATGTTAATGTGTATGGGTTTTGTTTTTTAGGAGGGGACATGGAATAAGAAGTTGTCCCGTTACTCTATGGTTCTACTTCTAAATTTCAAAAAACAAATATTGTAAGTGTGGGGATAAGAATATTAGAGTACACGTGCAAATATGCCATCTATTAATCTAATCCAGTTGTACAATAAATGTTATGATCCTTTTTACTTCGAGTCTAATATAGGGTTTAATGATATAATACAAGGTTAAGTACACTTGATAAAAGCTAAAAGTTGTATTTTATTTAATTGCAATAGTGCTTATGAGTTATTAGTACCTTCTTCGAATTCTGATATTAACTTAATCACATCTAAGAACGGCCGTATATTTCTTTCCGTTTGTATTAAGGCAACACAATAAAATAACACTCACGCATGTTCTTTCGCCTTTATGATAAACTTTGATTTAAATTTTATGTTTGATCTTTCATTATTTATTTAGACATTTCAGTGGTGTCGGCCCATTTTATGAATTACGGATCGAAATGTTCCATCCAAATTAAGCAAAGACAAGTGGGAACAGCTCATGCGAGGGCCCGAATCATATAGCTTACTAAATTGTTCATTTAATTATTAATTTGGACTTTAACAATAATCTCACGTATGTTTATTAAGAGTATACATAAAACAAAAAAAATTGGTATCTCAATTATTTTGATTCTTGATCTGATTTAGATATTATACTTTCATGACTCCCCACTTCCTTAGGTATAAAGCCCCTCACATTTTTTTTTGTATAATGCATAAATAAGAACTCTATTTTATTTTACAACCACACAAATCACTAGAATAGTTTTAGGATTCGTATTATAGTTTGTCTTTAGATAACAATGCTATTTGATAGGAGTGGGATGATTTCAAATATGCTTTTGCTATTGAAAGATAGGAACGTATTTTCGACATTGTGATTTATCCATTCGATGAGCTCATCAAACTCATATCTTCCTCGAATCTTATATGAAAACTCTTGCCCAGAATATCTACAAAGCAAGTACTCAACGAACAGGCAAGTCCTAATTACCGTTGTCTCGGGTCCTTGGTAAGACCGAGTTGAAAGCTTCATTGCTCGATACCTCTTCCAAGCTACGGTCCAGAGCGAGAGAAATGGGAGAAGACATGGGGAAAATCCCAATCTTGCAGCTCGCTTAATCAAAAGGATAGACAAGCAAGTCTGGAACAAACTCTCATCAATCGGATTACATGGAGATCGACGGCTCGACGCTATGACATGATCACACAACCACAATTAACGGTGTACTCGCGAAATAACAAATTTATGTAAAACTGGTGGAGATATAACATAATTAAGAAACATACTTGTACTCTCCAACTGGCAACTAGTCTACTATAAAATGTAGAATGAAGATATCATCTTGCTTACTACCATGTCACACTGATTCCTCAATAACTAATTGAAACGATTTACTACCTACTCATCAAATAGATTAGTCACATCATATGACCAAAACCAACGTACAAAATGGAGAAGTAAAAACTATAGATTACCAAAAAGTGACAAAAATAATTTTTTAAAACATAATGGTGATGAATAATCAAAATAATGGTTAAACAAAAAGGTTTTGGTTTGGTACGATAAAATAATTGATGTTTGCCACTACACCACATGAATAGGTAGTCATCAATATCATCATCATATCATACGACTGAAACTATGCTCAAACTTATGATGATATTC